TTTATAAAATATATAGAAACAAAATACAATATTCCATATTTCTTTTAAATATATATATACTTAGATATTTATATTAAATTTTTTACTTAATTTCAACGATATTGGATTTTGATTAAAAACTCTGTAAAAACGTTAGAACCTCACTATTAAACTTTTTGTAAAAAAATAATATGCATGGTACACTTTTCACTATCAAAATTGCAAATATTCTTTGAAACGCTTAAATTGAGACTGAACTTGAATAATTTGAGTAAAATATAATACGGCTTATAGACAAACCGAAGTCAGTCACCGTTAGAGAAAATAAAACTCATTTTAAACTGTACTTTAACACGCTCTCTGAATTGCTGTACATTATTGTTTTTGTCCGAAAAAAAATTTAAAGCAAATATTAATGCCATGTTTAATGTTTAATTAATAACAACAAAAAGACAAAATGTAAACATAAATATAATAAGAAAAAATAATATTTAGTTGCAGATCGGAAACTTTTTACTTGTAAGCGCATTTTATATTAAATTTTCAAATTAAATGTCAATATATTAATTTTGCTTATTATAAACTAAAATGTACATACATACATAAATATTATTATAGTAAAAGAGAGTATTCTGCCTAATAAAAATAAAATTTTATGTATGTTTGCTTTTAGCAGCATAATATGCCAAATTTCCACATGGGCATTCTACACAAGAAAGCATTCTTTACAAGAAAAACAATAACCAAAGTAAAAGAGAGTATAGTTTGCATTGAACCTATCTCTCTGCAAAGGCTTTAGACGGAGCTTAGTTCCGGGGAAAAAAAATAGTTTTACTCACGATTTACATGTAAACCTGTTATAAAAAGATCGAGCAAGGAAGGAGGCTATGACAGAAAGACACTAGTATTTTGCACTTCATAGCATGAAAATGCTTGTAAGTGATGTTTCAAATTTCATCTTCTTATTACTTCTTTATTAAGCTGAGTAAAATTTATGCTCAAAATATTAAAAGTTAGTTTTGCGAAGCGCGTGTTTAAGGGAAGTGGCGTTTTTTCTTTTTGTAGTAAAAAACATACCGGGTCTGTTACTTTTTTACAATACTTTAAAGTGCACATTTTAATATTTTACAGCTTTTGCAATTGAAATTAAATGTTTTTATAACTAAAATCATATAGAGTAAAAAAATTGGTTTTTTAATTTTTACGATTAATATAAACTTAATATAAAAAAATTGTTTTATTTCAGTTTGTAGTGAATTAAATAAATAGTCTTTACGAATAGATATATAATTAATATTTACATATTTACGAGTGCTTGTGATATACGACTTAAAATTAATAAATATTCTTCATAAATACACCTTAAAATGTATTTTTAAATATGTTGGTAAGTAATTTTATTGTTTATTACTTATTTACAACGATTATTTAGCAAATTTGTGCTTAATTTCTATATATAATACTTTTTTTAACATTTTAAGAATTATTATTTAACATTTTGAAATTATTATAATGAATTAAGAATTTAAAATCTTACTATCAATACTCGTACTAAATATTTTTTACTGTTAGAAAGTTCATCAATTCACCATACTGAACTAATTAGGTAAATGCTTCAATATATATACAGGGTTATCAATTTTGTGCGTTCAAAAGTTTTTAACATTTGATTACTATATATATTGTTTTGGATGATTGATTACTGATGATGACTAGTTAACATTAGAAAAGCTGAAATTAAAAGTAGTTAAATAAAAATTCTCTTGTTTAATTTATTATATGAAAAATCGTTTTCTATAAAAACAAACTAAAAAAACATCTTTAAAAATATTCTCTCAATTTTTATTTAATATACTGACTAAATTTATTTATTTATTTTTTTTTACTGACTGAACAAATTTATTTTACACTTTTATAATGTCGCAAAAATTATTTCGGTATTAAATTTGATGTGTTTAAATTAATTTTTGGATCAACCATATTCATTCAATTTGCCTACAAAAATATAAATATTCTCAAAAGAATAGGCCATAAATTAAATTAAATATTACAATATTGTTATATATTTAATGCAACGGACTGAAGCTCACTGTGCTTTAATTTTAATGAAAATGTTTTTTTTTTTTTTGAAATCCTTTCACCTCGTATATATAAGAGACATAATTAATTTAAATTATATTATTTTAACTGCAAACCGAGCTTTATTAAATTAATTAAACTAAAATAATAATAGTATATTAATGTCATATTTTTATATAAAAATTAAACAACGTGTGGGCCTATTTACTTATATGACTGAACGTCTATGTTGACATTTTCCTTTCTTGGATGACCTATATTTAAAGCAATATGTCCGTTGAACAAAATTACATCAAAAATTGATTGCCACAGACAAATTAATTCATTTATTTATCTAACCTTAATAAAATGAGATTTATGAAGTTTATTCAGTTATAATATATTAATCTTAAAGTTGATAAACTTTTTGATCTTAAGACAATTTTATTAATATTATTAATAACGACATTTGAACAGCATTTTTATTTAGAAAATACATCTAAAATACTTAATTTATAAAGATAATTATGTTAAAAACGCAGCTCTCTGACTCATAATTTATATATGTTAATAGATTTTCATGGCCATCGATTTCTTGGATACAAAAGTGAAAGCAAATATACAACACTTATGTTTAAGGTTTTGATTGGTTTTTTTTTATACATTGTTTAGTCCTTTACATTATATGTAATAATCATTATCATTTACACGCAATGGTCTGTCGACAAGTCCATGTAAGTTTGACTAATCACAAAAACTAAATCTCATTACCAAGTTCTTGCACAATCTATGATTATTAAAAGATAAATATTGGAAAATTACTCTTAACTTTTCTGAGTAAAGATTGCAATTGATATATCAATCGATTCTAGTTGTAATTAATTGAAACTCTAATTTCAATTCTAATTGTTCTCAATAATCAATTATTCCAAAGAAACTGTTCGAAATAAATCAGATATATGTTATAGACTATTTTCCGAAACCTTAATATGTTTGTCGCAAAAAGAATGTTAGTCAGACCATAAATCGATGGAATTCATTATTATATTCAGAATTCAAACCCATAGATCTTACGAGATCAATGCAGCTGTTGAGTTGTTGTGTTTTGTTTCTTTTTTTTCGTAAGTTTTATAGTTGCAGATTTCAGTCTTTAACTATGTTGTTTAATTCAGCGATGTTCCTTAAATATGAGCCTAAACAATTAAATCTTTGATACTATATTTTAACCTACAATTTAGCAGAAACTGTTTTACTGAATGGAAAACTATGGATAGAATTAGAGTGATGTGACTTTGACTACTTTGCATGTTAGTTAAGAGAGTCGCAATATTATATATTGTAACATATTATAATGTATATTGTATTGTGAATCATTTTACAGTTCATTGGAAGTGTAAGGTGAGTGCAGACTGAAACTGATTAACACTACAAGTCCACAATATGGGTGCTGACAGGGCACTACATTTTAGAAAGAAAAGCAACTTCACTATAGACTTTGATAGGATTATAGCTTTGTTGTTGAATAAAAAACTGCACTTCTCATGTGTCAGTATCCTTAATTAACTTAAACAAGATACGTTTTCGGATCTCTTTTATTTCAAGCCCAACATAGTTGTCATTATTAGGAATATTGTCCCTAATAGGAGTATTATCCCTAGGGATAATAAAAATTAGGAATATTGTCCCTAATAGAGGATAAAGTTTGTTAAGGGACTGTAGTTAGATTTCTTTTACTTGAATATACGTGTGTAAAATGCTTCAGACTTCTACCTTTAAAATGACACTTCAGCGCTGACAGACGTAAAGTACATTACTTGCGTTCAAGTGAGCTTTCACTTCAACCTTATCCAACTTATTAGGACAAGAATTAATGGATGTATTATTAATTATAAATTTAATTGTGTGTTTAATTATTACTAATTTTTTTTCTCTTTGATTTTTTGAAAAATAGACACGACTTACTTTTGTATTCAGGTTCATTGTATGTCTGAAATGTGAAAAACTCAAACAAATACTGGAGAGCATAACAGGCTAATAGCTACTTTCGACGTACCAACATAACGTGTACAATACGTCACATTAGATTGGTCATTAAGTTGTCGGCTTGCTCTTATGAGTTTTCCTTGGGACATAGGTTTTTGTTGCAACAGCATAATGTTGAGAGTAAACCTTTCTGTGCTGGGTCCCAAAATAGATATACGATTTGTGTGTCGTATACTTTTATTTTGTATATCGTATATTATTAATTTGTATATTCTTTTGATCTAAAATCCTTTTCGTTGGGTGTCAAAATAAGCGTATCGCCTGCATATCGTAAAATATTTTTTGTTAATTTTGTTAATTTTTTCTTGCCAAGAGTGGCGCGTCTTTATGACGAAAAGGAACTATTTAAAAGTTAAACGGATTCGAATAGCCTTGAAAAGATATGGACAATATTTTTAATTTATTTTTTATAATTTTTTTTAAGTAAACCTGAATTCGTTGCTAGTTTTCATTTATTTCTTATTTAATTAATTATAAATTTTATTAATTGAGTAGGCATAATTTGTTTTATAACATTTTTGGTATTCTGTAAAAAAAGTTGATTAGCAATTTGTTTTTAAGTATACTATTAATATATAAATAATTAAAAACTATTCTAATGGGCCGCAACAGAAGTTAATAAAGTATAAAAAATTGTTATATTTAAGAGTTATTTATTTAATACAAAATCATTTGGTTACGTTAAACAAATAAATTATAAAAAATTCATTATAGCTACATTTTGCACATACAATATAAAATACAATACGTGGAAAAAATTGGTAAAAACATTATTTTAATAAATATTTTATAAATAGCTTAATTAATTAAGTACTAAATGCATTAAAATTAATTTTCACACATATTTAACAATACACAAACACATATTAAGCACTTTAAACATTTATATAAATTTATATAAATTTTTTCAAAGCCTAACGTTTTTTTAAGAATATTTCAACTAATATTTTAAACTTTAAATATTAAAAATATGCAAATTTCCTGCAAGTGCACAGTTGACCCAGGGCCACAAACACGTCTGCGGAAGCCGAAATTGGCTGTCAACCGATTGAAATTGATTTAATTTTTACTTATGCCTGAAATGTCAATATTAACATTTTAAATCGAATTTTTAAATTGAAGTTTTAAGTTTTGGCTGTGATGTCAGGAGCACAAAATATTGGACATTGCCTTGGAGAAAATCAATTTAAAATTGAATTTAAAATTTTATTCACATATATGTCTTTTCGTTTGTCTGTTTAGGATAATTTACTAAAATATTTTTGACCTACAGATTACACATTTTTAACTTTAAACTCATATCGGAACTGATTTTGAGTTGTTGAGTTACTCTTGACAGCTAAGAGCATTTCAACCTCGGAACATGGCCATATGGTTTGGCGGTGGTTTCTTGCAGATACGTCGACATGTCAAACGCCAAAATGCGGTACGAAAGTCCGGATTGTAGAATGCATAGATAAATGGATTGATAGCGCTATTAACCCAACCCACCCAAGTTAGAAATGTCGTTATGCCCTGCAGTACAGCAGCTGGCGGCAGGAATGGTATGAGTAAATAATAGACAAAAAATGGTAACCAGCATGCGATGAAGCCGCCCATAACCATTGTCAATGTTTTGGCAGTTTTTGTGTCACGTTTTGTAGTGGAAACGCGCATTGGTATGCGATGATGGGATGTGTTGTGCTGGTGGGTGTGCATGTGCCCATGTTGCTGTTGTGAGTTTTGCTGCCCTCGTACTTGATTAATTTTAGCAACTTGTGCCATTGGTAATGATGTAAGACATGTCTCAGAATATGAAGCAGTATTTTCAAGATATTGAAATTTTTGCATTGGCAAGGATGCAGCACGTTTTTCGCTTACTGCAACGCCTACTGGTGTCGTGTGTATGCAAGGTCCGCCATATTTGCAACTAACTGCAGAACAATGTATAAGCGATGAGAGACGAGAGACCTCAACTAATTCATAAAATGAAGCTTGATGAGGCATAGCAGTCTCAGTAATGTAATTCTTATTGCATTTGCTACATTTGAGACTGTTATTCTTACTTCCACTGGTCCAACGCATTTTGAATGAAGGAAATTTCGGTGTGGCACATTGGAAATGTTCGGATTCTGATAAGAAATTATCGAAATCAATTTCATGATCTGCTGTTCGTTCAGAGTTCTGAAATCAAAATAAATTACTATTTAATACGATTCATAATAAAAATGCAAAATATATATAATTTTGAAAAAATAAAATTTTGAATAAATAGTTGAACAGAAGCAAAATTATTACAATTTAATAAAATAAATTTTTTAACGGTGTTGCAAAAAAAAGAATATAATTTCGAAGCTATCAAAATTGAATTTCACTTTACGATGTAATTGTTTATTATTAATTGATTTATTACGACTCATCAAAGAAATGTATTTTGTCTTATAATTGCTAGTTCCTTTTTAAAGTATTATATTCCCTTATTCGCTGAAGTTTCACAGTATTGTTAAAAAAAGCTAGCAGGTTCATTATAGATGAGAAGATCTCGATGAAGCTTAAGTGAAAAGAATGGGCAATGACTGAACTGCAAAAGGAGAGGAGATGACAAGTAGATGCTGAGAAAGACCAATTTTTCACTAAAAAAGATATAATTTCTTAGTCAACCGACAATTTTTCTATCAATGGACAAACTGAAATTAAATGACGAAAAGTTATGCATTTCAATATTTGTTTTAATCATTTTCTTCTCAGTCTATATCACAAACTTTCATTGACGACAACTTACACAAAACATAAATTTTAACATAAAAAATGCACAATCGGTCTAATATATGATAATAGAAGTTGCAGGACTCTACGAGTATGTTAAAAAACTATATGCATACTTTAAGGATGGGATACCAGCATTTTCGGAAAGCTATAGAAACGACGAAACAGTTTAACCAATATTAGTGCTCTTGTGATATTGAAAAGAGTAAAAGGATTAATAAGATATAAAAGTAAATGAAGAACTCGTTTTTTCTAGAAACAAACGAAACTGAAATAATAGTCAAAAGTAGCATACAAATAGAAATGAATAGAGAGAAAAGAGAATACAAAGAAAGAAGAGAGCGAGGAAAAACATAAAAAATTAATAATTAAATAAATAAAAACTGAGAAGAAGAAGGAACAAGATAAATGACAAGATTGTTTACTATATAAAAAAAGACAAACAAACGAGAGAAATATGAGGAACATATAATAAGCTAAAAAAGAAAATAATGAGTGTGTATAACAATAAAGAGAGAGTAAAAAAATTACAAATGTGAAAGAAAATGTAGACCAAGCAATGAAAGAAGAAGAGTATGATATAAAAGAAAAAATAGTTTATATATAACAATTTCGAGGGAAACAATAAGACGAAGATGAAAAGAAAATTTAGTTGACAGAAAATATATATGGAAACAGTATTAAAAATTGTGATTTATAGAGAGAGAGAGAGAGAGAAATGATAACTAAAAAACTTGAAGAAAAATGTTTAAAAAGACATAAGATTCTGCAAAACATAGATAACAAATTTATGTGAGTAGATCAAAGATAAATAAATCTGAAAGTAAAAAGAGTTGAACAAAATGTCATCTAATGAAACAATCAATGAATGGAAAGAAAAGGGACAACAGTGAAGAAGGTAGAAATATTTGAATTAAATAACTGTAGTTCACCTAAATAGAAAATATCAATGATGTATACATAACCGGCCAGCAACGTATGGCAAACAAGAAATTATATTCCAAACTCAGATAGAATTTAATTTAGGTATTAAGTTGTATGCCTCTTAAATATTAAATCTTTATCAAATAAGATTCAAGCACACTCATATTTGGAAAGAAAGAGTGAGTTTTTTTTAATTATGGAAGCAAAAACAAACAATGGTTTTGTGAAAGAATCTCCAACTTCAGAGAATAAAATCAAATAGGTGTATTCTTCCGTGTGTGGTTTTCTTCGCGTTTGTCTACCAACACTAGAATAAATTTATTTATAGGTGCTTATATCGCATATTGATTCTGTAAATGTGCTACATTATTGTAATAAAAAATGTAAAAACTTACAGATATTATTTCTACTCACAGTACACTTTTTATGAATATTTGTTTGAAAATGTACTTAACTATTAATATTGCACAATTATAAAGTATGCTATGTTCATATATGTACATATATATATACATGATATCATATGTGTGTTCTTTACATATAAATAAATCTGGTTATATGTACCATATTATTGATGATATTTGGGTAATACTACTTGGGTCCAACAAAGCAAGTTGAGAAAAATTTAACCCAAGAATTGCGGATGATATAAGATCTGCAGTTCTCGATAAAATAACTTTGTATACCACGCTACAGGCAACTACATCAACCGTTGTTAAAACACACTTTCGAAAAGCAATCAAACATTTTTCAAAGTGGAGGTGTTAAATATTTCTAAATGCACTGGTCTCTTCAAAATGAGTTGAAATAAATCAATAATAAAATAAGACAATGCCAACACAATTCGAAATTCGCCTTTATTCCTTCAAGAATTGCACAAAAAAAAAATTGTTATAATTACTTTTACGTAGTTTTTACTATATTTATATAAGAGGTAGAAGGATTCGAATAGAAAAGACAAGATAAGCATATGAAAATTAATAAAAATAAAAAGTAAATTAAATTACAAATTTAGTACAATTTCAATACTAAATTATTATTATTTCCATATTTATAAGCTTTGGGAAAGGGCTGAATTATAGTTAATGTACGTAAGTTTAGTTATTTTAGGAATTTTATTTTCTAATCGATCAATTAATCAACAATCAATTTATTTAAAAAACTATTTAATAACAATTTTTAAGTAATCAAAAATTTTGATTCATAATTATTGTTCTTTTATATTTTTTTAATGGGTTGGTTGCAGTGTCGTGTCTACAGATATCTTTCCGCTTTCTATATATAGCGATTTAACACCATTTTAATTATTGAATATTATTTGTTAAAAAGTATTAGATTTTTTGCATTTTACAAAATATTTAAAAGCTTTAAAAAGATATTTATAAAAACTTCTTTCACAACTAACCTAACAATTTCTTAAAATACAGACATGACTGCTTTCTTTTTATTTTTATTTTAATAAAAAATAAAGAAATATAATTTGTGAAACACAATTTAACAATTTAGTAAAATTGTAAAAATATTAATTAGAAAAAAAGTTTTATGGAAATGTTGTTTAGGATACGCTTCCTAAGAAGAAATTTATTATAAAAACAAAAAATTAATAATTAATTAATTTGAAGTTCACACATATTTTTTATAAATTCTTTATTTATAATCCTTTCATTTATACAAATTTGTATTTGTTATTTGTATTTGTATTCATAGAACTTCCGACGTAGTAGCATATTATATTGTATTAATATAAACAATCCATTTTATGAAAAATATTTTTAATATCTGTTCTAATCCCCAATCTGCCTCTGGTATTCGAAAATATAAAACCCATTCATCACTGAACTATGTATTTATGTAAAAAACATTTACTGAAAATGACAAGACTTACTGCATCCCGTACAATGCGCTGTCGTCGTGATGTCAGCACATAACCAATTTTCAAGTACACATACAGCATCACTGCCAGTGGAATGAAAAATGAACCCATTGCGGAAAAGATCACATATCCTTTGTTTTGATTGTAGCGACAAACTACAACACCTCCTTGACGTCGTCCTGGTTCATACCTAAGGATGGAATGCATAGAAAAATAGTAAAAAATATAAATTTTATTTATAGATATTTATTATTTTAAAAATTTATAGTATTTTATATTTTAGAAGTTATATCTATACATTTGCAACACAAAAATATGACTTTGTTTATATTTGGACTTTAAAATCAAGTAAACGCACATAAAATAAATTGGATTAAGGCTGTCATATGTATACTATTTCATAGCTTATACTTTAGTAGGATGTATGTGGAATTTTACTTAAATAATATATTTATAAGAGAAAAATATTTAAGAAAAAATTTTATTTCTTTTTTTTTTGAATTAAGATATATATGCTTTTAGCAGTATTTATAATAATAAATCATAATATTTAAAGTTTTTACAAATTTAAGAATTCCACAAAAATGCAAAAGCCTAGAATATATGAATATTCTAAAATAGTTATAATGGAATTTTAATACAATTTATTATTAGATTATTTAAAAACTATAAGGGTTTTTCTAAATACATTTTTACTTATAACAAAAATTTAAATAATTCATCATATTTAAAACATACTTACCATCCCAAATATGGAGGACAAGTGATTGATAGTGCCGTTACCCACACAATAAATATCATCATCAATGCTAACCGTTTGGAGCGACGTTTTTTGGAATATGTTAATGGCTGCGTAACTGCTAGATATCTGTATGAATAAGTTATGTTTATATTAACTGTTTATATATACAGAAAGCAAAAAATATTGTAAGCTATGGTGTGATGTGTAAAAAATGTCATTAAAAAGTAATTCAAACTTCAAAAATATTACAAAGCACACATAGATGAGGTGGCGTAATTCAACTCACAGGAGAAAATATATGCGTATGATAAAATTATATTAGTAAGCCATATGGAAAAGTTCTTTTTAGTATATATAACATAAAAATGAAAATATACTCATTACTAATAAATAATATTAAGTTTGAGTTCTGCACCTTTACTTTGATATGATGTCATTATGGAAGAAAATTATTTTTTCAGAGTTACTATTTTTACACATAGGTATTTTTTTTTCCACTCTTACACTTGCTTACTTTTATTTATTTTTCTAATTTTTTTCAACATTTTTCTAGAATCTGAACCTCCTTTAAGAATAAAATTTATGTAGTAATATACATTAATTCGTATTACCCTTTAGCAATTAACACATACATTACCTTAGCTCCATGGCATTTATTTACCATTTTACTTTCATAATTTATAACAACACCAAAGTCAACAACACAAATTTTCTAAAACAATTTAACTCTGTGAAAAACAGACCCGTATGTAGGATCTGTATGTATACACTACGAAGTAGCCGTAGAATGAAGTATGTACTACGTAGCGTATACTTAATTGTTTTGTATGTAGTAGCAATTAGTTGATGTGTTGTTCTTAGGAACTCATAAGGTTTCCGTTTCATGTTACTGTGTATGCACGAGTTTCATATAAAAATGTTAAGTTTGTAAATTACCTGTCCAGACTAATGGCACACAAGCTTAGAATGGAGCTAGTGCACAGCAGAATATCCAGCGAAATCCAAATATCACACAAAATCCAACCGTATCGCCATGTACCTGTGAATTATGACCGCAAGAGCAAGGTTAGCAAATAATAAAGCAGAAGTATTTATTTTTTTATTTTATTTTTAAGTTTGAATTTATTGTGAGATGAAAATTTAGTTTTTTATTAGAAAAATTGACCAAATGAAAATTTTAAATTGTAATAATATAAGTAACCTTTCAAGCTCTCAACTAAATAAAAGAAAGTTTAATCATTTAATTATTAAACAGAGTTTAAGATATGCTATTCTACTGAAAAGAGCTTCTAATAACCATAAATTAAATTCTGTAAAAATTTTTATTAAGCTTGATAATTGGGTGAGGTCTGTATAGGAGAGAAACTGAACCCCATAAACAAGCATAAATGACACACATTCTTTTAAAGTTTTTATAAAGCTGAAAATGCACTAACATCTGACTATATGTGGTCTCCGAACAGTAATAACACTCTAACATTTAAGAAATGAATACAGTACTATCGAAATGCATTAAATATATTATAGTAATATTTTTTATATTTTGTGTTTTTATTACTGCAACTAAAGTAAATAGTAACTCTCTTCTACGATATCAAATGGGAGAAACTTTTTTTCAAATTCAAGGTATCGAAAAAAGTATTATATACTCACATTCTGTAAGTTTAAATTGAATCGATTTTTTATAATCTAACATTTGGTGTTCATATAGTTTTGTATTGGTTCTATTGAACCAAAAATTCAATGTATCTATGAAGTAAAACTCTATTACTGTAGTAAACGAAATCAATATGTGTTCTAAGAATATTAAGTTCAATATCTTATGTTCAGTGATTTGTAACTACTTTGTCAATTAAATTTCTGTATTTCCAGTTAACAGTGAATAGCACATTTCTCCATTTAAATATACATTTTGTATAATATGCTTTTCATCAGCAAATATCTTCGCTGTATTTTGGATCCCAGTGTTGCAGCAGCAAAAGCAATTTGTGAAATAATACTGTAATAATGTGGAAATTTCAACAACATCTTTGCTATAAGAAGACTGAGTACAAAAAAAAACAAACAAACTTTTTTGAGTGAAAACGTAAGAAGATTTCTTTAAACTTCTTGCAAAAGAAAGTTGTAAGATAGTTTAAGAGGAATAAACACTACAACTGAAACTTGAGAGGGTTAAGTATTTAATGAATATTAAGTCGCACCGTGCGATAATATAACAGTTGCTCTTATACGTTACACTATTATGCATCCACTTTGATCTTCTTTATAATTAAACATGTTATATCTTGCTTTACACCGAAGTTTTATCTTATCTTGTCTTCTCTTAAAAATTATCAAATAAGTTCAACTTTAATTGTTAATATTTTTGTCAAATGTGACTCGTCATATGACAAAAAGAAACTATAAGTTAGAAGTGTTCGAACAGTAATGAAGAGACAACAACAATAAATTTTAATTAATTTTAGTAAAATTTTTGTTGTTGTTTCTTCATTACTGTTTAAACCCCGTTATTTTTCTGATAGTATTGATTACTTTAGAAACATATGAACTTTAATATTTTTCTGTTAGTATTGATTATAATAGTACTTTATTACAGACAATTCACAGATAATTCGGAAAATATCTTTACAACATGTTTTTTTTACTATTTTTAATTCCTTTGATTTCCGATTTTCTTACTATTTTTAATTCCTTTGATTTCCGATTTCACCACGATTGTGGTGAAATTGATCTAGTATAATTCTGTCATTAAGACCAAATTGGTTAACTGATGAGTTTCATTTCTTTCTCAATAAATTATTATATTCTGCAAATGTTTCCAGGAAATTAAATTCCATGGACATCATTTAAAAAAAATTTAAGAATTTAAAAAAACTACTGGTGTAAGTTTTGGACTTAAATTTATTTGCAATATGTCTTTAATACATTATTCGACTTTTATAGGATTACAGTCATAACGTCTGAGTATAACCTCAGTTTTAATATAATTAAATAAAGCAGGATTTTACTCTCTAAGACCAACTATAAATTTGACTTCTCTAAATATTTCAAGATGATAAGAAATTCTAAAGTAAGCCCATGGATTTAATAGATTAATATTTTAAAACTATAATGATGTTGATATTTACTTTCAAACAATTTAGTTTTTTAAGTGTAAAAGAAATTTGTAAGAATTTCAAACTGATTATTTGATTGTTTTCTTGAAGATATGAGAATCAGGTGTATAATTTTACTTATAAGCACAATTAAAATATCATTGACATTGTGAAATATACAATTTTTTAAACTCGGAGAAACCCCAACTTTTATTATAGGCATTATGATAATGCACTTAAACTAATTCTGCCTAAAACATTATTTCTAACAACAAGTGCACTACAACTTTTTCCAATGCTGTTATAAACCTTTCAGTAAAAAATTTAGAAAGTAATTAAATTTTTTGAAATCATGTTGTTTTCCTCAAAATTCTCTATAGCAGGAACTGTTTTTTAAAATGCAATCGACAAACGATTGAATCTTTCGAATCTTAACTCACTCGCTATGTAGTGCTTTTTTCATCGAAGTAACAGTCTGGCTCACTTTAGTTATATTTTGGTCTAGAATTAATTTATCACCGCCAGGTACATCAGTGTATATCCACTGGAATGTTAAACCATTCACTATGAAACCATTTCTTCTTCAAGTCAGCATTTAAGAATCACTTTTAATTGGAACGTGTCTTTTGTGATCTTATAGAATATTCTTAAAGTGATTCAAACCGAAACGTGTGGTTACTCACATCTACAGAGCAGCTTTCAAAACTATTTTGCTATAGATATTACTGTAGGTCGTACAAAAACCATTGAAGGGTTGAAGTTCACCTTTGACGTGGCCATCCAAACCATTACAAATTGCAGTGCGTGACTTGTCTTGATCAAATCTTGCTTGTTTTCTTTTTTACAAATTATTCATTTGGGAAGTTTTTCGTATCAGTGAAGACAACATTCGGCAATGGGTAACATTCGGACAAGCTCAATAGCTTCATTGCTCTATGGACCTAAAATTGTTTTAAATCGGTGAAATGGAATCCTTTTCGAGACTAATACGTAAGATTTTACCTTCAGCTCGTTTTTGAGTAGTTGTTCCACTGCTATTTTTAATATGTTCCACTGCAAAGCTTTTTATTTCACACTGTAGATAAAATTTCATTCAATACGGACCATTTTTCTAACCACTTCTGTTAGAGATACGAAGTTCTTCTGTCCACTGCAACAGAAGTTTACAACACTGGCAGTTTTGTTACAACGCACTAAGGTTCAAGAAATGAAAATTTAATATACATTAAGATGCTGTAAACCTCTAACAAGATAAAATTGTGATTTTGCTTATTAATCATTGATTTTTAAAGAGATTTTATTACCATGCTATAATATTTCAATTCAAGCAAGAACAAACATTTTCTAAGTATTCAAATGCAAATGAATATTTTCACCATATTCGATGGCATTAAAAATAGGTCTGTAGGAACTTTCCGCATGATTGATATTCTGTTTGCTCATGACTTACTTGAAAAGTTCATGACTTATTTATTTGATATTCTGACAAAACATTTAAAACCTTATAAAATAATACACTGTATTGCTTAAACATCTATTAGAAAAATATATTATTGCACTCTTTGTATTCATTGGACATTGCGATTAATATCCTCAGATTTTCCGTTTCATTCCAATTGTTCTTAGATCAGATTAGATTTTTAAAGAGTTGTGAACTTATCATCACTTCACTGCATTTTTAGAGGATTATTGTGACAATTCCACTCTAATTCCATAGGCGAGTAGTAGTTAAAAATGCCATTATGTCCTTTGAGAAGATGTTGTCTAATTCCGTTATAAGTGGATAGGCAGTTGATAAGTACCGAAGTCTGAGTTTAGCGAGATTATCATAGTGACACAAAATTGTTCCTAACATGTCACTCTGCGACTTGAGTGCAAAATTAATTTTTAATGTGATTCAAGAACCTCATTCCTGAAGAAAAGATTAGCTTTGTCATATTGTTTCGATGAACTCATTTTAATATGACGTATTGTATTGCAAAAATTTGTTTAAAATTTTCTAGTCTACAAGCTCATTTGTTTAGACTGATGTTTATAGCTTGTTTATAATTTTATAATTAATTCCGTGGTTGTGTGTATTTTCAACACAAATCTTTGAAAAACTTGTATGATAAAAAATTTTATAAGATTGGCTAGCATATGTGTGATCAATAATATATTTTACCTGTAGAAATGACTTCATATTCTATTAGTTGATTGACTTTAAAAAATTCTCTAAGCTTTTATACATAAATAAAGTATATTGTTTGTTAATAATTTATTAATTAATTTTAAAGTTTAATGTAATAAAAAATATATCGATTCTTACAGTTTATCTATAAAAACTGTGGATCAGTTTATTGTAATCTTAATTAAGCATTCTAAAATGTTTTTATTTATCATAAATAACATCTAACATAAATAAATGCAATAATAAATGATAGTTTTAATGCATGAAATTATCTTCAATTAAGTGGAAAATTGCTTGGAAGTACATTGAAATGAACCAATCATCACAGCCAATTGAACATTTGAGCACAGTAATCAAACTCACATTTTCTGTAATAATTTTATTGCAAATTAAAATAAATTAAATTTTAAATTTTGGGCTTGCATTAAATTCGTAAGAAAATGTATCTCACTTTTTCTCATTCTGAATACTTTCTCCATGTATGCAAGTCTGTAGCATATTTTCTTGTGGTTTGTGTTGTGTTATTTTTTTTCGTGTAATAAAAGTTTTTGCTTACACAAGCAATATATTTTGGAAACAATTTGTACTTTGGCAGTTTTACTTTAGAACAAAGTTTATAAATACATGACTTTATTTCTCTTTTGAACTCTGCTTTTCAGATATACTACTTTTGGTTATCATGGCTTTGTTTTGTTGGTCAATACTTGTACTGTAACATAAATTTTCACACTTTCGCTAGCGCATTTATCCTTTAAATATTACAGATGGTATACATTTTCAACGTATCAAATAAATAAAGAAAATTAGCAGAAAGTTTTAGTAGTGAAATATGATACTCGAAATGGTTCACATAAACAAGAGTTTGGAAATAATGCTAATACGTTTTTATTCATTAGTTTAGATTAAGTTTAAATACCAGTAATGTCAGGGGAATACCAGCACAAATTATGTATATTTTTACAGCAAATCAAATAGTCAATAGTCCTGTTGGCAATACCATTAAAGAGTTCACTAACTGTTAAATACTGTTACCGGGTTCAGATTTAAGCATTTACCACTCATTTACCACTTACATTAACAGTGTTAATGTAAGAGTATTCCTTTATTGAATTAATCAACCACATTGCCCTTTTCTATACTCTGAGGTGTAAATAGCTCTAATAATGTTATTCTCTTTGTTTCAAAGTGAAAATAATTTAAAAATCCACTCTACATAGAAACTTTTGTAATTGCAAATTAGTTATTATTGCTTTGACCAAAAAACATTTATTTTTTACTCTAACGTTTATAGAGTAAACTTCAATTTAACTTTGAATAGCTTTTAATTGTAAATAAAATTGGGCTAAATTTTTTTTGTACATTTAGTATTTACTAAGCCAACGTAAAAAGTGAGTCTATCAACGACTGACTCTGCACTTAATGACCCAATACACTAATCGGTTGAAGTGCAGAGACCGTATAGTGGTAAATAAAAGCAATCAATATTATTGCAGTAAATGGACATAGTATCGATATAAAAGAAAAGAGTTTTGCTGAAATGAAAATCAACAACAGAAATTGGGATACTTACCAACAACATAGAGTATAACAGCGGGTGGCATAACGCACGTGCCCACAAGCCAATCTGTAATCGCTAGATTCATCACAAAACAATTGGTAACCGTACGTAAGCGACGAGTTGTCAGAACGGCCAATATCACAAGAGTATTGCCAACCACAGTCAACAATATCAACAACAGAAATAGCGATACACAGAAAACCTTTGGCCAGGCCATGCCAATCAAATACGAGTCTACAGATGGTGGTTGCGTTGTTGATATTTGTGTAGTCATCCCATTGCCGAGAGCTTCCATATTACTGGAATTCAATTGTATAAAACCGATTGCATTTGTTAAAAGATTGTTGATTGTTTGTGTTGTTGATATATTAGCTGTTGTTTCCAATGCCATTGTTGCTGCTGTTGTGGCTGCAATTATTCTAGTTTGATGTGTTTCCGTATGTATTCCTGTTCCTATTCCTATTCCCCTTGCAGTTGTGTTTGCAGTTGCTGTTGATATTGATATTGTCGGTGCTGCTGTTGCTGCTGTTGATGCTGTTGTTGCCTCAATATGAGTTAGTGACTGCATCAGTAGCTCATATAATGTTGGCGTTAATTCTGGTATAGCATTTCCATCGACAATGGCATTTTTAAAATTTGTGAAATTCGTATTTGAGTTTTTAGAATCTTTTGGTGTCAAAGTGGCAGCAATTAACTTGTAAGGACTCATTGATGCTGCTTTTGTTGTGCCAACAGTAACAGCTCTTGTTGTCGTTGCTGTAGCAATTGATATTGTCGCTGTTATGGTATTTATTGCTGTTGTTAACTTGGCAGCCACTGTGTCGTTATATGAGTTCGGCAACATTCCTGCTTTTACATTGTTTCAATTTTGTTTTATCATTTTTTTTCCTTTTATATGTGCTGTTATTTATATTGTTTGTTTTGTTTTATCGAAGTCTGGCGTTTTATTTATTGTTTTTTACATTTTTGGCTACTTTTAATTGACTTCTGTACAGCGTTTCCATATTCTGTAGGCGTTTAAATGTGCTAAAAATAAAATATCAAAGAAAAATATTATTATAAAAAATAGCTCAAAATAATTTTGGGAAATTTTATTAATTTTCACACTTTCGCAGTTGATTTGCACATTTCGCAGTTTCATATTTTATCACTGGACTTCATACCCACAAACTTTCACACACAGTGACTTAACACTTGTGACCGTGTGCTATTATTTTCAATTAAAATAATGACGTGCGAATAACACTCCTTTTTCATGCATACACTCACTCACACCAACTACTCGTTGCGTCAAAGCTATTTGTACTCAATTTTGAGTTACATTACCAATGCCAGAATGAGTCATACTGTCCTAATGGTGTCAATATAAAAATTAGCATATTTAAGCGTGATTTTTCTTTATTTATAAACATATGATATTATTTAAAGAGGTCTTTCCTCAGGTTGTTAATTAACTTTATAATTTGTTGCAAAATGGAAGAGTTGAGTTTCTTTTAAATATAGTATTTTTATACTTTTATAAATTACGTGTTTAACTTCAATAGAAAGAGAGAAGTAATAATAGTGATAATATATTTAACCCTTTTTTGTATAATTCTAATTAACTCTTTATTTATACTTACAAATCCTTAATTAAACTAAAAAAAAAAATTTAGTTGATTTAACCAAATTTTAACAAAATCTAATGTCAAAATATTCTTACTCCACGCAACATGTTGGTTCAACCATACCACATGTTGGTTTTCATATCTTCTTTACCACTTGATCTAAAATTTTTCTAACAAAATGAACAGGTCAATTTAACTAGTATGTGGTTAAAGCATAGTTTTCTGAGTGTATAAATAATTATTAAATATACTTTAACTAAGTACCATTTTCTATTTACTTTAAATATTGTTTAATATCGTAAATTTATTCTGCGTAACAACAAAAGAGCTACCAGGTAGCTATAAATAGTTGGACGTCATATTCAATGAAAGGAATATTACGATAAACACTCTACAGAACAGAATTCAAGCTGGTGAAAAAACTTACTATGGGCTGAAGAGATTGATGGCAAGTTTTTCTAACAGATATAATTGCTATAATAGAAACTATAACTTGTTTGCAATTAGATAATACATTAAAAGGGAACATAGAAACATATGAAACAGCTGGGCTATGCACATTTAAACAAATAGTCAATAGTCTAAATATATATTTTCTCTAAACTTACAGTTACTAAACTGTATTAAATTTATTGGCATACTGTCAACCAAAGTTGACAGCATAGGTGTAAAGACTGATTTTTCAAAATTTGCATAGCAGTTTTTATATATCAAACACAATGGGTTTGTTGAGTTTTTTTTTCATTTCATAAAAGATACGCTTCTAAAAATGGCAAAAATCCAAAATTCCCAGGAGAAAATTAAGTTTTTTGGTGGTTCAAAATAAGTAAATCATGCTCCAAATAAGTAAACATCAAAAAAGGAATGAAAAATAATATAAAAATTCGTCATTGAAATTATGCGTCATTGAAATGATTTAAAATATAATTTTTAGAGTATTATTAATAATATGAGAAGTGGTGAGCTAAAAGAAGCAATTGATTAAAAATAAAAAACCCTAAAAGCGTAATATTTTTAAAAATCCAGTATATCTTATGTGTATACATATATATATCTTAACAGATATGATTTAAAACTAGTGAACTAATTAGTTTAAACAAAGCACCTTTTAAAAAATAACCATGAATAATGTTTATTTCTTAGTTATATTGAATTAATATATTCAACCTCACATCATTTAAATAACGTCTATATGAAAATCTCAATCTCAAAAAATTATAGCCAATAATTTTGTATCTGTCACATTGATTTCTAAACAAGATTAATTAAAATTCTTTAAATTTATTCTTATTTTTGTCTTCATTTTGATTTGAACCTTACAACCTCACTAAAAATAACTTATTTGCGTCCTTTGCAAATATGTCCTGATGGCAGTTAGTCAAGTTCTTATTTTTAGAAATTAGTTATTTATGCTGCACGTTCCGGCTATTTATACATTACCTCAGAGTAACATTTAAGGTTCAAAGACCTTTAAATTATAGGCCATTATTAATACAAATGAGCACGCAAGAAACTGTTAAAATGATGAAATAATTTAATAACATTTACATACTGTCGTTTCAAAAAAAAATGAAAAAGAATCCAAAAAAAATTTTAATTATATATTTTCTATATTAATTTAATTTCCTTGAAAAATTTTCTCAAATAACACATTCTTCAAATGTGTTTTGTGTATTTAAATTCACAAATAAAGTAGAAATTACATTACCATTTGGACTATAAGTCCAAATTAATAAAATTATAATAAAACAATATTAAATAAAGCATTTGTGTATACAGCAATATAAAACTAATATTTAAGTTAATTCATAACTTAAATTATTTAAAATTCATTTATTAAGTTCACTGCAAATTAATAAATTTTTATTTTATTATTATTCGTAGTATTACTCCCTCAAGAACTTAATTAATTTAAATAATTGTATTTTTTAATTAGTGTAAACAGTATTAATATTTATTACATACTGTTCCCTATCTTCATACGAAGTATTTATAAAAGTTTGCTGTTTTTAGTGTATCAGGCAAATGATGCTTATAGCACAAAAACATGGTTACAGAATGTATAGATAATGAATATTATCAATTATTAATAATATTTACACAGAAATATTTACTGTAATTACATTAAAGTTTTTTCTTTGAACTATTGGGCGAAATGGAATTCATTATATCGTAACTATTTCAAGTTGCCCACTTAAATAAATAAAAGTACCAAACTCAGTGTGATATTGTTGTATTTTTATCCAACAAATATAGTTTATATTCTATTAAATTTTATTTTTAAGTGTAAATATGCTGTTGGCTCGCTACTGGGTACAAATTACTAATTACTACCTGCCTACTGCACAATTATATAAATTAATACTTAAAATTGGAAAAACAAATTTTATTAAAATGACTGCACAAGCAATAAAAATAATTTCATTATTTCGAAACATTAATTGTTCTATTTTTGAAACGTTTACTCGTCGGCAAGATTTTTAATTAAAATTATTTCTAATTTCGTACGAATATTTTTAGCAACCAAAACATTGTATCATGAAGAATTCTCAAATAAATTGCCTACTTGCAAATTTAGATATGAGAAATTAATTTAATACGAAACTCATACTAAACTAACAAAGGCAATTACTACGAGTATTGAGTTGAAATCTCAGTTGCTTGAGTAAACAATGGGCAACGCTGCGTATACGTTATATTTGTACAATACTTTTACTCAACACTGTTTAATCAGCAGAAAATTTACATCAGCGGCTATCAATAATATTTCTTTATCACGTGCAGCACTTTGTGTATAATTAATATTTACATTCACAATAGAAAAAAATACATACTAATACCTAGAATTTAATTATAAACAATGGCTCACCATTTTGTTTATTCAATTATTATTATACGTTTTTCAACAGCAGCTATAAATCCAATATAATACGAGCAAAATTTATACAATAAGAAATTTTTGATTAAATTTTATTTTATCGAAAATATTACGATATACTTAAATACTATAATAAAGCTATTTTATGTAAAACTTTGTTTTATTTTTTATATTATACTTTGTTATCATTTAATATTAGTATTCAAGCAATATTTTCATAATACATAAATAGAAATTTTTAATTACATATTTACCAATTCATTCTTTGCAGTATGTTAATAGATACTTTTGGAGCAATAACCGATTGATATTGTTTTTATTAAATAAATACCAATTTTTAGAGCACAACTATTAATGTACAATATGAAAATAAATTCACATTGGGAAATTTTTCTTAACTTCTTGTGCACTTAATACATTATCAATAATGAAAAATATATTAATGACATTTCATCAACATATTCTTTTATTTAAACCAACCTTAGATTATTGATACTAATTATTGTTCCTAACTTTTGCATAACAAATACATATAATTATCTCTAATATATATATATATGTATTTATATATTATATTAATAATAATAGAAGTATATTGTATGTTAATAATACTTTATTTAATATTTCAATCCTAGAACTAATCTTACACGTTAATTTATGCTATTAAAAAATAAATTACAAAATATTCACACATTAAAATATTGTTAGTTATTAAACTAAAGACATGGCCCAAATGCCATAATTTTAATAGTAATTTCAAAATGTTTAAAATGGTTTTCAGAAGTTAAGTAGTTTACACAAAATAGATCTATTCTAATAATAAAAATATTATTTTATTTTTATTTTTAAGAAGTTTCGTATACAGACGTCTCGAGCATTAGTGAACTACAACACAAAAAAATTCTTCTATATTATTTTAATTAATTCAATTCTTCATTTCATTCTAATATAACACAGCAAGTGAATTTG